TTAATGGTAAATGAAAGTACAAAATAACAAGCTGACGGGGCAGCAAAACTTACATGAACATAGGAAGGAGGCACGGGAAACTCAGGAGACACGGGAGACTCGAGGAACCAGGAAGACTCAGGGAAAGACACAGGAGACCCAACGAAGACCCAACGAAGACCCAACGAAGACGACGCGACGATGAACAAGACAGAACAGACGGTTTACATACAGAGACAAGACGAGACATGATTGCAGACAGCTGGGACGAGACACGGGTGGTAACAATGGAACTAATGGGGGAGCACGAGGGAACGCAGACACAAACCGGGCCACAGAAAAGTACCATCCTTACAGTACCCCCCCCAGGACGCCTCCAGGCGTCCCCAAAAAAAACCCCTCCCGAAGGACTAGGGCGGGTGGAGGGCGGCACTGCAAGGGTGGAGGGCCCGAGGAAAACACAAGGACCAGAGAAAAAACACGAGGGCACAGAGAAAAAACACGAGGGCACAGAGAAAATACACGAGGGCACAGAGAAAATACGCGAGGGAACAGAGAAAATACACGAGGGACCAGAGAGAAAAGACACGGGGACCAGAGAGAAAAAACACGAGGACCAGAGAGAAGAAAACACGAGGACCAGAGAGAAGAAAACACGAGGACCAGAGAGAAAAAAACACGAGGGAACACAAGGGATTTGGACGGTCAAGGGATCGTCCCTAAGAGTCATTGTTCCGGCGGGCGGCCGGGAGGCCGTCCAAAACACAAAAACAGAGGGAACGCGGCTTGCGTCAAGGAGACCTGGGGAGCTGCAGCATGCGACGGAGAGACCTGGGGAGCTGCAGCATGCGACAGAGAGACCTGGAGAACTGCAGCGGACGGCGTGGAAGCCTGGAGAGCTGCAGCGGACGGCGTGGAAGCCTAGAGAGCTGCAGCGGACGGCGTGGGAGCCTGGAGAGCTGCAGCGGACGGCGTGGAAGCCTAGAGAGCTGCAACATACGGCGTGGGAGCCTGGAGAGCTGCAGCAGACGGCGTGGGAGCCTGGAGAGCTGCAGCAGACGGCGTGGGAGGCTGGAGAGCTGCAGCAGACGGCGTGGGAGCCTGGAGAGCTGCAGCAGACGGCGTGGGAGCCTGGAGAGCTGCAGCAGATGGCGTGGGAGCCTGGAGAGCTGCAGCAGAAGACGAGGGGAACTTGGAGCGTGCAGCAGGAGATGAGGGGAACTTGAAACATGCAGCAGGAGACAAGGGGAACTTGAAACGTGCAGCAGGAGACGAGGGAAACTTAAAACGTGCAGCAGGAGACGAGGGAAACTTGGAGGATGCTGCTGCTGTCGGAGAGGCCTGGGGAGATGCTGCTGCTGTCGGAGAGGCCTGGGGAGATGCTACTGCTGCCGTGGAGGCCTGGGGAGATGCTGCTGCTGCCATGGAGGCCAGGGGA